CTTTTTGATTCAGTATAGGCTGTTCTACCCACGTATGACAAAAAATGCGGTAGTCGCCAAACACCCTGTATATATAAAGGAACCCAGAGCACCGAGGACACGGGGTACTATGGGTTATCGATTGTTAACATAATCTAGAATGTTTAAATTACTACTACTGGTACAATACGACTGTTATTTCATTGCCTATATTTTTTATCTAGATGGTAGTAATTAAATTCCATTGTATCGAAAAGCATTGATTATTAATGGTTTTCGTGGAGCAATAGTAACTTTTTAACCCCATAAAAATATTTTAATATTTTTTTATAGTAGAAGATACATGTATAAAGATAAGGTTCAAGTTTCTGTACATCTTTTATCAACTTATTAAGTTACAAGTAATAATCTAACATTTATTTTTTATAGTTTTCTGTTAAATGTATAATTGGAGTACCATGAGTCATACATTAAATACTCTTGATGAAACGGGACAATACAGAAAGTATATGTATTAAAAGGGCAGTTTATACTTCTAAGCAATTAATTTTATTTTATCGTAATATATTTTTTTCTTATGTTAATGATTATTTCTCATTTATTTTCTTATAACTTTCTATTTTATTATTTAATAATTATTAGTTGCAATTATATTTTATTGTATTAGTGACTATGCTAAGAATATGTGAGTTAATTGAAAATACGTTTCAACTTCCGTCATCGTTATTTCTCGCTTAATCCTACTATTTTGTGTGTAACCTAAGGTACCACGGATATGGAACACTATGAGTCATTTCTTAGAAAAACATGCTTTTTTTTTTTATAAACTAATAGATATTTACAAAATATACTTATTAAATTTTAAAATATGCATTATGCTTTAATTATTAAAAAAAAATGATACAAAAATTTTTATATTTAGATGCACTTTTAAGAGTTTGAATTTTTATGACTCTTGGTGCCGGTCTCTCCTATAAGTATTAGACTGACGAGGAAAAAAAATTTTTTTTAATCGGCCTCTCAATTCAAAAGCTTCCATTTTATGCCAAAAGAAGACCCCTAAATTTTTATCAAAGAATATTAACATTTAGAGATCTAGTGAACGATTTGATTTTTAAATCAAAATTTCGATTTTCCTTAATACGTGTTTGATTTGAGGCAAAAGTGACTTAATACGGATTTTAAATGTTGTTACGTCCAGCGGACTCTCGCAACCTTTTTAATCTTTCTCACGGAGACCTGGAGTTGTCAACGTATAAGATAGTTAAAAAGTAATAAAAATTTTTCTCACGAAAAATTAAAAGCAAAGACTCCAGTATCTCCGCATTAAGATCAGCTAAAATAAAGTAAGAATCGGTGGACGCGGGAGACTAATGCAGCGTCGATGACACCCTCCTTGGACACCACTATTAAGAAGACGATTAATGTCAGTGAAAATGCAGGACTGGCGCCTAAACATTTTTCTAACAGTGAAGTCGCAGACGATTCTCATGATGTCCGCGACCATAAAATACAGAAGTGACACGCAAGGTCCAGAAGAGGTCGACCCCGTGCCGAGATTTAGATACTTGTCTCTAAGATAATCAGATTAACTATTGAGAGAAGATCGGCAAAATTCTGTGCGAGGAGTGCGGAAACGCGGTTTATATACCGATTCTTCCTTGGTTGGTAGGGTTCTAATTAAATGGTGGGGCACTTTTCTGGCTTCTGGATTGGTCAAGATTTGGGGTACATTGTTGGGGAGGAAAGGAGTCTGTTTTATGTCAACATGTGTCAGTCTTAATTTTATGATGCTTTCTTCTTAAATTATGGGGAAATGAACGTGCATCGAGTAAGACGAGCGCACGTGCAGCGTCCAGTGATGCGAATTCCGGGCCGCTTGCAGCACGATTACTAGCATGAAGAGAGCATAGACGGACACATACCACATGCGCAAGTGTACACGGATATGAACTTATCGTAATGTATGTACCTTCTTATGCCCCCTTCATGTTAGTAACCGTGCTGCAAGCGGCTCGGAATTCGCATCACTGGACGCTGCACGTGCGCTCGTCTTACTCGATGCACGTTCATTTCCCCATAATTTAAGAAGAAAGCATCATAAAATTAAGACTGACACATGTTGACATAAAACAGACTCCTTTCCTCCCCAACAATGTACCCCAAATCTTGACCAATCCAGAAGCCAGAAAAGTGCCCCACCATTTAATTAGAACCCTACCAACCAAGGGAGAATCGGTATATAAACCGCGTTTCCGCGGCCCTCGCACAGAATTTTGCCGATCTTCTCTCAATATCTTTCTCTCAATATATTTCATCCCAGCCGTATCAAGTAATAAGTAAACACCCCCCTAAAATCCGGTTTCTCGCCCTCCTTTTCTTTTCTTTTTTTTTCGTAATTACCATTATCACTTTATTCGTCTCTATTATTATTTTCTTTTCTTATTTTTTCTTTCCACCCCTCCATATTAAATAAATGAACGTTGCAGTGCGTTCTAACGGGGCCAATACTCCACAACGCCGTAGCGTAATCGTTCGTTCACGCCGACGCGTCGTTCGGAGCAGGGAGCAGGACCCTACTCATGCCGGACCGTTGGCCCCGCGATTACATCCCTTACATCCAACCATCGGAGAATCCAACCGCGATAGAGACACCGACATTACCTTTCCCCTTGCCACCCCTTTCTCCACCACTTGACATTTCTTACTCACCCGTACCACCTCTCCCCATACATCCAAACGAATTCCTCGAACCACCCAACTTCCCTTCGCGATATCCAACTCCACAACCTGTTCCGGACATCGATTCTGAATTTCTCGATTCTTACAACGACCAACCCTTTTTATTTCCCTCTCTTCAATTTACCAATTCTCACACTATTACTACAGTAGATGATCTCCTCACTTATTGGACATCCGCCCCTCCTAATCACTACCTTTCTGCTCAAGTTTATCTCCAAGACTGTCCCTTTCCCTTCCTTATACCTGCAGAAGCTTTAGTTCCCCTCGTTGACTCTATTCACGCGCTCTCTAAATATTCTAGTCGATTTATTCCGCACGTTACATTTAACACAAAGATACACAAATCATTTAATTACAAAATGGATAACCAACTACGTAATGGTAACTTTAATTTTAATTATCTGGAGACACTGGTAGTGTTTCGGCGCTAAGCTTCGCGCAGCACCACTACCGTGGCTACTTTAAGCGAGCCGGCGAGTTGCGGCAGATCAAGATTATCGGATCTCAATAAGGGCTGAACCGATCAAGTTCTAAGTGTGCTTAATCGATTGCAACTGCTCGGGATATATAATGAAAGTGATTTTATTTTTTCTCTACGTGCTCTACGAGCGGAGATATTGCGACGCAAAATACGAATCTGAGACTTTTATATTAAGAATAGTCATCATTGTCGTCGTCACCGCTATGAAGTGGTGGGGGTAAAGTCCTTCTGGAATTTTTGGCGCAAGAGGCAAATGTGGCGCTAGCAATGTGCATGGTCACATCACACATATGTTCGTTTTCTGTGGCTGATGATTAGGTTAAGAAAACTGTCACATCGATGGCATAGTAGAGGACACGTAAGTGATTTTCTGCTTCTACATACACAAATTAGACTTGCTCGACACGTTTTTGCACGAAATGAACGAATCTGGCAAAAAAAATGTATCGCTTTACCCCGTGGACTGAGATCGTTAAAGTTGATCACTCTTCCAATTAAAGTAGTGGGTATTTAATTCTCTTTCAAAATAATATACAAAACGTTACCACAAAGTTGCGTTACCTTGCTCAATTTAAGTGTTATCACAAAAATTAAAGTTTTTATATTGATAAGGACCCTAATATAGGGGTCGAAACGTATATTAATTAATTTTTTTATACGATTTGTTAAATTCACAGAAACTAAATTGTGCATCCGAACAACTGATGTTGGCTTTGATGTGCTTGCTTATTATTATTACTATTGATCTTTATAAATTTAAATTCATCAGGAGACGCGGTAGTGTCGCCGGACATGTTAAAAACAAAAGTGAAAAGACTTAAAGACACTACAAGTCTCTTATCCTGAGCCACCAAAGTCCATTTTTTGGGGGTACAGAACTACTAAAATATAAAAAATTTTGAATCGCACGTGACATATCCTGAAGGCATCGCCACGAGTAATTTGAGCAAAAAAAAAATTAAAAATCGGTCAAGCCGTTCTGGACATACAAGCAGGAAAGTGATGATTTTCGTGAAAAATTAACGACTTCTCCATCTTCTCTGTCCGCAGTCACACGCA